TATTTTCTTTCTTGTCTTTCTTGTACTTGTCTGGTGATATCGTGTCGACAATGTATGTATCCGATTTATCCATGAACCCGACATTCACATCAAATTCCCTGTTTTCCACTGAATCAGTGAAAATTCCTAACATCTTCGAATGTTAAACCACGCTTATAACCCCGTCACTCATAACAAAGAAATACATGCCCGTAAACTCCGAGTCCATCATCTCCAAACAAAATATCTCTATATTTTTGAAAATATACGAGTAAATTCCGTATTTCGAAGGAGTGGTTAGTCTTAGCTTCATTTGCTAAGAGTTTGCAAATTTACTAACCATCAGAGTGTCTGGAATATAGAAAGTTCCCCGAAATCTATAAAAAAAGTGAGTCCTGCGATTGCGGACAATTGGCGCCAAAAAAAAATTGTCGGTAACTGTGCGCAGTATTTTAGTTAGTAGTAAGCCTGACCTGAGGTCTGACGTTCTTCAATTTACGCACAGTTCAAAACTTTGTGAGGTGACTTATCGATAATTCATGCAATACATGATATTGTCGGAGCAAACAGACACCGCTGTCATTTTGGGAACAACAGTTAAACCAAACAGTACGAGTTGGTCTGCGTTTTTTGTTCTTCTCTTTCGTGCTTTTGAATTTTATGTTGTTGTTTTTTTTAATTTTTTTCAATACAGATTGACATTCCTTGTTATTGACGCAGTATTAAATCAAAATACTGGAATTATGCGTGAATTTCTACACAAATATCATAATGAGGTAATATTTAAGCAATCTTCATGAGAAGATGAACTTCCCGCCTTTTGACGACGTGGCTGACGGTTGAAATTACCGACTGAATAAACATGAAGTTTTGACCGTGTCTATCAAAACTGAAATATACATCTACATCCCACGTACTTGTACCAGTACTTTTAGAGACCGTTAATAATTAATTATCCCCGACGTATGGCTGGGGAAAAAGACAGACTTGCTTATTTTGGATATCTGCGTTGAACAGAGGATTCAATAACTGCAACGATCATCAAAGAAGCGGAAAAGCTGTTCTCATTTTTAATAACTGGTTGTTTTATCAGTGATTCTTTTTTAAAAGCAGAAATACTGTCTCTTCAACATTACCATGTGTGGATAGATAGGATGTTTGAATCTCAACGTTTCACAGATTACAAGAAGCAGGCATGGCAACCCGTCGGGTTAACTTGTCGGAATCAGTGTCTCAAATAACGACAAATCCGGAGCTCCTGTTACATACACCGTTGACACGTCAACTATGATTTGTATTAAACGGAAAAATATTATGAAATATTCATTGCCGGGAACACCAACCTCTGCAGAATCCTTCCGTCTCCTGCATCCGAGTTCCCGCTTCCTCCGTGAATCGAAAATTCGAAATTTTGGAAAACTTTCCTTTCCCTGTCAATCTGTTTACGTGTGTTTTCACATGTTAGCGGTGTCAGCAGCAAAAAACTGCAAATTAAACGCTTAATATCGCGACGGCTACTCGATATTCTGTGTGTGTGCGTACTATGAACTCGTCAGCCAGCCAGTCAGCTAAGCAACATGGCTACCAGCTCCGTTGCCCACAGCTGGGGTAGTAATACATCAACTTTATAATACTCAAACCAAAAAGGTGTTCAATCAAACTACACTTCGCCTGTTACGATTAATACAAAGGTTCACGTGATATTTTTGAATGAGTTTCTGTTCATTTTGGAATGAATTTCTCCTTCTATAATTGTACTCTGTTGTTTGACAATCTTAACTGTTCTCATTAATTTTGATTTTTGATATGATTGAAAATATTCTGCAATTTAGAAATGACTGGAATATTCTGTACTATAGATTACAATACAATGCGCACACATACACAGTATAAAATAATGTTATTATGATTATTTCTTTAATTTAAAAATGTAAGAAAACGACGATTTCATATTACCACGTGACCCATAAATCTTAAATCCCGCATTCTTCAATTTTAAACTTTACGGATGGTTTTTATCACAACACTGTGGACCTCAGCTTGTATGGGGCACTAACAAAGGGACGTAGCATTTTTCCATCCAGGATTCGACTCGACATCTGTGACACCCCGCCGGCAACTTTGATGTCGAGCGGGGCCGATCGGTAATGTACATTTTACGACCTGTTCACATTTGTTGCTTTCCCATCGCCGTGACCTTGCTCATCCAACTGCATGTTGTTCCATAAATTATTCAACAAACTAATAAGGCTGCTGTCAAACCAAAGTCGTATTTTAGTAGCAGAATTTGTTTTGACAAGTTCGTCCTTTTTTCCATCGTTAATTGCCGTTGAAAACAAAGTCCGATCCTAATTCAATAACAAACCTGATATGTAAATTACCCTGCCACTGCCAGCTGACCCCGGTGGCATACTAGCCGAGTTGACTATGTCTGGTCCAGGAAATTTACCCCAAATCGGGATATTTTATTTATTTTAACAATTACATCGTTCATGCTTCAATAAACCGAGCTTGTCAGAATCTACGTATCCGTTTTGGAGATAAATTTTGTTGGGAATATGCGACAATTCAATTTCTGCTCTGACTAATTTCAGAAATTCAACCGAAAACCAGGGTCATCTTCAAGACATGAAGTGAGTACATGAAGTCGGTGAACAATAAATTCTAACCACAAAAAATGCGATATTCAGACAGTACAGTGCAATTCCTTAGGTAGGCAGGTCATACAATATGCTAATGTCGTTTATGCAAATGAGGCGTCTTTCTGCTCGAGCAACATAGAAATTGAACCATACTGTCGAATTACGACACGTTTGTGTCATTGTTTACTCGTATTTGCAGGGGTGAATTTTACTGTGTGTTCGCGCTTAGAATCTCAATGTCATTGTCAGTTTGTTACAATGTATCACCTATATAAAGATTCCACGCGACGATAAGCAGGGTTCGTCAACTTGAACAAAACAAACACGCGCGACGCAGAGAACAATAATATCGCAGTTTATTGAGATTATTATTTTTCAATTCATAACATTTGTTAGCCCCTCTTAGTCTGTCGGGAAATCACGTCACTGTCCTGCCACTCGGTGTGTGTTCTACGCTATCATACAGGGTCAAAGCAACAAAGATGCAAATGAATTACACTCATTCATATTTCCTGTAGCGCCGATGTGTTCGGGCAGGCATTCTGGGGTCACGTTCCATTTGTTTTCATAACGACGAGACGGAAATCTCTCCGAGGTGTCGCCAGAAATCATCTCCACTCCCCCCACGATTACTCATCATTTTTGTTGTCGATTTCAACAACTTGAAAATAAGATTCGTTAGAAAATATAGTTAGGGACCCGAGAAATAGCGATATTTGATATTGTTTGTAGCCGTACGTGTATGTACTTTATATGTAACAGACGGAGTAATTATCAAATTCCGGTATGTGTTACAGCTCGAGTTTCATAATTGCCTTAAATTATACCGATCACGATCCCCAATTTTTGTAGACCTAGTTGGTCGTTGGAATGGCCTGCGTCTTTGTTCCATCCACATAACATACTAGTAACATAAGCGCTTATACATTGACGGGAGACTATGGTAGACTCAAACGTAGACAAATTTGTGTACAGTACAAAGAAGAGGCTTGGGGGGGCTGGCGGCCTAAATCTTCGGGAAACTACGCTTACTAAACGCCCACTATACAGTGGTATCATTGCAACATCGCCGCTTTGCTTCGCATGCTTTCTCAGATCACACCAAAACCTAAAATGGGGCTCCTCCATAGCAGTCTGTTCCTTCGACGTCGCCTTACAATATTTTTGTTTAGAATCATTACACACTCCGCTCCTCCAAGTTATCGGTATTCTATGTTTAGAATTTTCCAAATGGATTAAAAAAGGGCATTATTTACATTTTGTTATTCATGAAACCATTACCTACCAAATAATTAAATACAAACATCCTAGCATATTATTCTGTCTTCATTTGATACCGTAAAGCTCATTTTGGCTATATATGGCGATTTGAATTTGGGATATTGGCAACAAAACGCAACTCATGTAGGTCATACAATTGTCCTAGAATAAAATGAATGTGTTTGAACAATACAGAGTTTAATACTTTCCAACGTAAAAAAATGTACATAGACAAAATAAGACTAAAAACACAAAAAATGATGATAATAATCACCAACATATTATGTATACACAAAACATGGATGAAATGTGACATCACAGTTATTTCTTTTTTCTATGATTATAATTTTTTCAAGTCTGCGTTTTAAAAAAAGAAGAATTATAATGTGAAAATACTATAAAGTGAACCATAGACGGATTTAAATATTTCAAATGTACCCCAAAAAATTAATTTGTGATATCTGACAGAGGAATATCAGATTCAGACAGACATACTCACAAAATTATATCTTGTTAAATATAAATATGGGTAGTCTGTACTTCTATTCATATCGCTAGGCGCCCTAAATTTGACTCAAGTTGAGGGCGTCTGTTACAACATTTAACGGCAAAATAGCACACACCAATAAATAGGCTCTATATAAACTTTATAGCCCCTCTTTGAGGATTACGACCAACAATTACATAAATGACATACTACCCAGTTTTCCCAAGGTATAGCGAGACGTGGAAGATGTAGCTGTCGGAGGCATGCGTGTATGTAAAACAGTGAACGAGCGTCCGTGTGTTCGCCAACGCCCGGGGCAGCGCGGCGGCTGATGGTAAGGTGTTACCATTAATTTGTTGGAACGCTTTGTGGAGCTTATTGTTTGACTCGCGGGATATATGTCAACCAAGCCTGGTAAACGTTGGCTGTACGATACATATATGTAAGTAGTCTCAAATAAGTGAGATTTGATATGCTTCCAAAACACGTCCAAATCACGTGTTTCTGGCTATATTATAAGCATTGAATTTCACCGAGTAATTGATAGAATTAGACTTTAAAACCAGCAGCAGTAATCTAGCTTGAAACACATGTTTGAATATGTAGTTACGGTGCAACTCAAGCTCGAGATGTTTTTTTTTTTTTTTTTTTGTATTTTACGTGTGTGTGTGTTTTTGTAGAAACACGCACAATAACACATATAGCGCTGCTCATTGAGTCAACCAAACTATAAACAAACACGTATTCAAAAATAAATAAAAAAAATCAAAGTTAAGAATATATAAAGAAAAACTAACAACTTCGGGGATAATATATGTACAGAACTAGTCAGCCTCTTGTATTTTTTAAGGTGGTTACCACTGGCTTCAAAAGCTCGGGCCAAGCTGCGGCAGAACACGTGACCCCGGATGAACAACAAACTTGGGACTTGAAGCCATGAATGACGTCATATCCACTACAGTCTCTATGTTGATGTTGTTTTCGTTGGTGTTGCTTTTGGTCAGTTGGTTGGACTTACTGACCCTGTCGCTGACAGTCCACCGGTCTCGCACGAATTGTCCTTTGTATCGGGGTTCATGATTTGTGATATGCTTTTTACATTGTGCTCCTTTTTCCACTTCATTCGTCGGTTCTGGAACCAAATTTTGATCTGTCGTTCGCTCAACCCTAGCGCGTGTGCGATCTCGATTCGTCGACGTCGAGTTAAGTAGCGATTGAAATGGAATTCCTTCTCCAGCTCCAGCGTCTGGTACCGTGTATATGCCGTTCTACTGCGCTTCGCCTCCATACCATTCGTACCTGTGTGTGAAAAAAGACAGAACCAAAACACAAGTCAATAAAAACGCCATATTCTTTTGTGCATGGGCGCGTTGTGGCTCCATGTTGGAACACGTCAGTGTAATTATTTGAAACATACTGAAAACGACTCTTATTTTTAGAATTAATATGAATGATGGACTGTTTTATTAACGGCAAACATGTTATTTTTTTCTGCAAACAAAACATTACTCGTCGTGAACGCAAATGATTTACGAAAGAGACAGGCGTTTTCTTTCTTAGTTTTCACAACTGGTCGGATATATAATTAAACAGTTCAGTGACAACAATAAATATTCTGTTAAAAACAGAACTCCATCATGATATCATGACACTACAATATCCAGATACAATTATCTTCGTAGACAATGTCGTTATTCTCTGTACATTGAAGCCTTCCTATTTTAAAATGGTATATGCATAACGGACGACCAACTGTGTGTTGTTTTTAATAGCGAATAATATCAAATTGTACATGTCCTGTTCAAAAATGAAACAAAGTAGCAGACATACGGCATCGTTAATACGTGTATGTTAGCATACGTCTACATCGCCCATCTATCACCCCGTTATCATTTGTGTGTACAATTGCCAGGCAAGAGATGTTACCGGATTGTCGTGCATTAACAACATCCAACTTAGAATCAGCGTCCTACGGCAGACGATATAAAGCAAGACAATTAACCGTCTGCCGTGAATTAGGTTGATTAAAAAGGAGTTGAAAATAATAAGTGGCGGAATGATTTACAAACAAACAAAAACAAACACTTTATTTATAATATATTTTAAACATTTATGGTACTTTTGTTATCGTCTGCGTTTCGGATAAACTAAAAAAAATACTAACAAAGCTGACCAAATTTTAAAGTTGAAAATGACCGCTGGCGGGTGTCTTCCATTGAAGGATGATACAAACTGGCGAAGGAAATTTTCCGTTCGTTCTAACCATGAAAATATGTATTATTTTGACAAGAACGACACTGGCAAGAGTTCCACGTGTTGTGTTGCAACATTGCCGGCTGAAATAAATCTTCCAAAATAATAAATCTATGGAAGGGAGTCGGAATGACCATATGATTAACTTAATGTGCTAACAAAACTCCCACGGTAGTAATAACGTAACTTTCGCCTCTCGTCATCCAGTTTGCGCGGGAAAATTTTCAGCCTAGTTTATACGGAATTATTTTGGACAATAATTATTAAGAATAGTATTTGCAGTTATTCTGCTCCAAAAACGGATTGTATGTCTGGCGTAAGTTTGACAGGCGGGATAATTTGTCTTTTCGCCCATCCGTGGTGACGTTTTGAAGAGCAGTGCACATAGCCATGTGAATGACAGAGTGGTAATCTTTAACTCGGAATCTACATACCCTGTTTGCACAGCACTTCAACTATCCGTCGTAACGTAACGGTGTTATGAAACGATCATATTGTACAATAAAGATCTCAATGCCAAAGCAAGTTTTAGTAACTGTAAAAAAAGATTTTTTTTTTACCTGAGCTCATATGCATGCGACGCATCCATGGGTAAACCCCATCCTGAGTGCTGCCAGTGCCGATTTTTTCCTTCCCGTGTACTCCACTGCAAAGACTGCTGTCGGAGTTTGGAGAGGGTGACGACGTGCTATTCGCCGACATTGTGACGTTTTCCAAGTTCCCAGTCAGGGAGTATGAAGGGTGCGAGCTCGGGGTATGACTGAGCCGATTTGTTGTTGTCGGCTGCTGGGGCTGCAGGAGCGCCGTAGTAGCATCGCTGGGATAGTAGCTAGCGTCATGATGATTTGAGTATTGGTAGCCGGTGTTGTAGTTCACCGCTGCCGCTGCCGGTGCCGGATTGTATCTTCCTGTCGTATTGTAGTGCTGTACTTGGAAATCTTGGCCATTTTGATATCGGCTTGTTAACGAGGAATTTACGAAATACGAGCTCATTTGTCTTCTTTATTAGCTTGATTTGTGGCTGCTGAATTACTGCAATGTCGATGATGATGGTCGTACCGTTGATGTATTACACTGAAGTCTTGAGCACACCCACTAGAAGCTATAAAAGCCAAATAAGGATAGGTGGTCAGTCACGTGAACAAAATATACCAATCAGCGAACGTGTACATGACCCATAGGTCAATAACACACACACGCTGTTCCGTTTAATTGCTGATACGAGAAACAAAGAAATACTGTAGTAAAATAGTTGATTTCTTTGTAATTCGAGTAAAAAATGTATTAAAACGATCGATGGGGCGAATTTCATGGAGCAAATCGACACCGTTCCAGTACCGCTTTCGTGCGCACTGACCCTAGATTCCTTCGCTCGCTTACCACGTATTGAAAAAGGCGGGATGTCAACTAGTTTTTGCTCAACACGAACCAACCAATTTAAATCATTCTACAATGAACTAAATCATAAATCCACAGTACACGATTTTTTTTTTCAAATTACTCAGTTCTTTAATATTGAGCTACTACAGTTGCATGTAGTCGTTGCGTAAAAAATCTCTCTAGACTCGTAAATGGGTAATTTTATAGAGGTAGAAAACGAGACTTTAAACACGTCTAAGTAGCCGAGATTACCTCCGTGCAAATAAAAACCATAAAATCCAAGATGCCATGCACAATAAAGTTGATTACGTTTTATTTTTGTCTGATTTTTCAGACTTCATCAATATTCAATGGAGCTGTCTTTGAAATTGTCGGCGGTCCTACCTTACGAGTAGCACTAGATAGTCACAAGGTTGAATTTTGGTGCCGATATTCAATTTTTTTAGGATTTTTACATCAAAATTATTATCATTGTTTCTTTGCGCTCAGATAAAGTTGTTGTGCCATGTGTATTTTCAACGGCATACCGACCCGTGAGTGTGTGACCCTGAACAAATAAATTCAAATTGCGATTGCAAAAAAATCGCTGACTTTTCGCCAACGTTCTATAAAAACGCTTATATCTAACGTACGGATGTTGTTGTTTTTGAACTCACAGCTCTGGTTAATTTCTATTAATTTTACTGAGAATATAGCTTATCGGACAATGAAAGGATAACCAATTTAACAGAGAGAGGGAGAGTCAGACAGTTCCGTTTAATTTACGATGACCACGTGACTACCCGACATTGTCTCCATTCTTCCAGATTAGAGATAAGCACAACACACACACGCCTGTATTTCGTTCGTTTTATTATTGCCCGGTTTTACAAACACCGTTCTGTTTGTGTGTGCGTGTGCATCGATGTACACTACTACGAGAGACTCTGGACTGACTGACCGACCTTCATCCCAATGCGTAACGAAGTAGTAAACAATAACAGGTCATTTTATTGACAACACTTTACAAATTTAACTGTTCTTGCTTCATGATGGACGACTGTATCTCCCCCCGCCCATCCTAGGAGACTCAGAGAACAATATCAAGTACGTGTAGGAACCGATTAATTAAATCGGCACAGTAACCGCGCCACGTCGTCCTTCGATGTGAGTCCCATGTGACACATACAACGCGGGTGAAATATACAACATGTTTATCCCGGCTGGAACGCGCGCTGCGTGCCTACTAGGTCGGGGGCTTTAAAAATATCGCTGTGTAAAGACGGCGATGCAGATTGAAAACAATCACAGCACAAACTACAATGGGAATTCTGCGATAATTATCTAAAGGGCTGAACACAAATTTGTCTTCCGACCGTCAACTTAGTTTTAGCACCGTGATGTCAAGAATCCGTCAGTTGTCACCCACGTGGGAAGCCAGCAACAACAAAAACAACACAGAAATTTACATTTAATAATATAATTACAATTTAACGACAACTAGAATGATCATAAAAATAACACGATCTTATTTTTTTAATTGATAAAATTGCAGATCGTAATAGAACACAACTGCTAAATCTGCATTACTAGTGTGTGTGTAAACCCCGTATCTACTGGTAACGGACTGGAATACGCCCAATGATATTGTTAGCGTTATTGTAACCGATGGCACAGAACTCCGTCAACGCAAACAGAATAATATTAAAACGACACAATGTAACAAACACACGGCAAAGGTACCCGGTTCACATGGCTACGTACATACTATATTTGTATCACATTCGATGTTATCTGCTTATTGTCGTGATCCGCTTGTGTGTTCGTCTATTGTGAATGATCAGTAGAATTAGGAAGAGTTATTTTTACATAGTAGTAAACAAATATATTCTACAATTAAACAGTAGTACAAATATAACATGTGACATATGCTCACGTGGCGCTGTAAAGGCTCCGCACTTCGCCCTGGTTTACAACTGGCTGAACTGAACCGAAACATAACAAGCACATTTACATTTAAAAATTGTGAAATACGGCAGCGGTCTCGGTAAAACAACTGGTAAATTTTAAACGTACTAGTATTTGAAATTTAGATATCCTTGGCGTGCAACCATGTTTTCCTTTCTGACCCCGGAAATTACAATAATACCTTTAAATTCATTTATTATCTGACGACTTCCGATTGCTGGCAACGAGACTTCATTGTGTCACGTGACAATTTATCGATGTAACTGCAGGTGCAAGAGACGCTATATCTTCATAACTGTCTTTTATATTTACATCTGACGCACTACGCACGAACACGTGACTGCGTCGGCAAGTCACGTGACGGTCACGTGAATTTGACTTCCCTGTTTGAGCACACCATCATTGAATGAACCCTCAAGTAATATGATTGATATACACATATCCACGATCAAGACAGGGCCTTCTCTTCACAGATCCACTGCCAATATGCCGATTCCGGATCAGTGCGCCCTTGTTTTTTTCTATAGATCGAATCTTAAAGCGGGGGAGT